TTAGGAGCCCTTTTACGTGGCCCCAGGTCACAATTTATTTATGATAAACAAGTTAACTAAAAAGGTTTTTCAACCTCTAATCTCTATTATTAAACCTACCTGGCTTAGCCTGGTGGGGTGATCCAGGGTTTATAGATTTGTTATGGTTGATCTTGTTGCTGGCTGACTGACTGAGATTAATACGTGACTTATTATATCAAGATGATCCCACGTATGCTTCCTTGAAGAAATTATTCCTCTTATCTCCTGACATAAATCATGACAGTCACCTCAGCTTCTTCTCTTCTTTTTTTACTTTGGTTTTTTGTTTTTCTTGAAAACTAGCCGTAGGATAGGATCCGCGATTGTGCTGGAGATCTTTTTGTATGATACTCGTAGAAATAATCAATATTATTTTTCTCTTCTTCATCTTAATGCTAATTGACAAGTTGCTAGCTAGCAACTTGACAGATTCTTAGCTGGTTTTTGTCTAGCGTTTTCATAGATTAAGATTATCATCGCTTAATTTGGGCCTTCTCTGTGGGCAATAAATCTTTTTAATAGCTGAGGAGTTAATTTTATTAAGTTTTTATTTATTTATTTTTTTGTAGCTTTTTAAAATATATAGGTTTGACGCGCGTGCTATATTCAAGGTGTTTGGATTTACAAGGTCAATCAAATCTAAAATAATGACCAACCTTATTTAGGTCTAACTTCATGGAAGAACTCAATCTCTAGAGGTTTAGATATACTTGATGTCTTTAATTCTAATCTTCCTAGTTATGTTTGGATTTAACAATCAACCAAATCTAAAATAATGACTAATCTCTCTTAGGTCTAATTTCATGGAAGAACTCAATCTCTAGAGGTTTAGATATACTTGATGCCTTAAATTTTAATTTTCCTAGTGGCGTTTGGATTTAACACTCAACCAAATCTAAAATAATGACCAACCTTAAGTCTAACTGTATAGAAGAACTCAATCTCTAGAGGTTTAGATATATTTGATGTCTTAAATTCTAATCTCCCTACTTATTTTTAGGTATATAAAAGTCATTTAAGGATTCATCATATTTTTATCAGGTAAGAGATATTATTCCCTCATTCAATGATATCAAGGTAATTGCCTTGTAGATCCTTTTTTTACGGGCTATAAATACACCATGAGAGTTTCATGATAAAATGTTCATAATCTTTATTCTCTATTACATATATATATTTTTAATATTTTTCTCTAGAATATTCTTGTACAACCTCTCTCTAAAAAAATACTTACTTAAGCATAGAAGAGCTTATCTCCACCAAAAGAGATCTTTTGTAGGTACTTGTCAGAAGCAGTTTTGGCTTATCAAAGACAAGTATAAGCTATTAATTACTTTGGCTAAGGAAAATGGAGGAGATTGTTATGACTAATTGATTAACTGATTGTTTAACCTAGAAACTCTATTTCCTAGTTAGTTGGATTTTTGGGATATAATTAGTGACGCTGTTTGTGAGAAACTGATAAAAAAGTCATTGATTTCTATTTAAAATGTGTTTTTAGCATTTTCAAGACATTTTATGGCTTACAACCATTGTCCACCAGGGCTAGGAAGCGAGATAAATCAACTTGTTGTCGTGAACACTTTTACCTAGCATGAGCTTAAAAACTCACTAGTCAAATGCAACTCCTCACCTAAGCCGTGTTGATAATCTGAAGGCAAAATTAGATCTTGCCACCGTGATAAGTCTTAACATCCTCAATAACCCACAATGGCTTAACACTAAGGCCACCATCTACACTAGGAGCTCATAAACAATTACATTGCTTAGAGGAGACTAGATCAAATGACATTTATGTAAATTCCTTAAGAGATCAATCAACAATTGTCCGTTAGGGAAAGAGAACATTAAGGAGAGTCAACAATTATGGAGTTTGGAAATATATGATATTATTATCCAATATCCCCCAGGTAAGTTAACGCCTTTCACCTTTTTAACTCAAAAGGATGGCAATAAACTTTTTAACCAAGTTGTCACCTTAACCTCTCTTAAACTTTTACATACAAAATCACATGTTAAAGGCTTGGGGGGCAACTGATAAGTCAATTTTATTAATTTTTGTTTATTTATTTTTGTGTGGTTCTTTAAATCATATAGGGTTGGCGCAATGTGAAACCCAAGATACTTGGATTTGATAGTGCACCAAGTATAAGATAGTATAGATTTAGCATACATGTCAGACCTAAGGTATGCAGACTTGACACTACGTCAAGTCCAAGATAGCTTGAGTCTAGCACGTATGCCAGATCCAATATGCTTAGACTTGACAGTCAATTAAGTCTAAGGTGCTTGGGCTTGACAATGTGTCAAGCCCAAGATAGTGTAGGTCTGGCATTTGAACTTAGTAGCCAACCAAGTCCAAGATAATGACCATCCTTATTTGGCATATGCAGGGGAATGATAGTCCTCCTTTGACATGTTTAGGAGAGTAACCAACCTCCCTTGAGTCTAACCTTAAGGTAGAACTTAGTCTTTATATGCTTAGCTACACTTGACGTCTTAAACTTTAATCTTCTTATACCTTTTAGGTGTATAAAAGTCCTTAAAGAACTCACTATATTTTTATCAGGCAAGATATATTTATCCCTCAGTCAATGTTATCAGGGTAATTACCCTGCAGACCCTTCTTTATAAGCTATAAATATACCATGAGAGCTTTATGACAAAAAAGTTTACAATCTTCATTCTATATTACATAAATATTTTTAGAGCATCTCTATCTAAAATATTCTTATATATTCTCTCTTTAAAAAGATACTTATTTAACCATTAAAGAGTCTCTACTTCCTCCAAAAAAGACCTTTCATAATTATTAGCCACGAGCAGCTTTGGCTTATAAAGGATCAAGTATAAGCTATTAACTACTTTGACTAAAAAGAATGGAGGGAATTATTAGGATCAATTGATTAATCGATTATCCAACTCAAAAAACTCTATTCTCTAACTAATTATATTTTTAAGACATCAACACTTTCATAGTTTAATATCACTATTATGGAAGTTTTTTTAATGTGATAATTCTTTCTAGGTTTAGTGGTGCTTTTTTTATATATCAAGATGTAAAAACTCATTAAAAAATTGTCAGGTTAATAATTTTTTAAATAAATTTTTTTTTTTTTTGCATTTCGACTAAAAAATTAGCTTAAGTTGTGTTTTAAACTAGTTTTGACATGGATAATTATTTTTTTTTAAATCTACTGAAATAATGTTAATTTGTATAAAAAATAATAAATCTGGATTAACTAGGCAAGCGAGAACTTTAGCTGTTTCTAATACCTATGCTTTTATACATGCATTATCAAAGCACACATTTGAAATTTATTTACAGGGCATCTGCTGCCTTTTTCTTTCAGAAAATCAATTGCTGAAATTGTTGGAACCACGCAAAGCTTATGGTCCAAAAGACGAAAAATAAAGGATGGTAGGCGGGGCCTATCGACCTGCTTTCACCTACTCTAGGTAATTTCTCCTATAAAAAAACATTTTTTATTTATTTAACATTGAACAATGCCTTAATTCCATGCCTCGATACCTATTAAAAACAACTAAATGAAATTAGTTTTCACAGTGAAGTACTTACATTTTATATTTTACTATATGAATTTATATAATGAAACAATTTCTTTCTTCACAATGTAATGAATAAAATATTTTTAATATAATTTGATTAACCGCTTAACTAGGTGAATTTTGAATTTCTCTTTCTAAAAGCGTTCAAATTATTTTTAAAAGTAAAAAATCTATAATTTATGCCAATGAGTTATTAGTTTTTTTTTTCTGTTTTTTTTTTCCTATTATCAAGTAAGAGTAAAAAATAATCTAGTCTTTTAATAAAAAAAAAAAGAAGCTTATGTTTTCTGTGCGGGTTTTTTAAATAATTAAACACAACCTTTTATAATGATAATGATAGCTACACATGAATATCTTCATAGCAATGAAGAGTATTATTATTTTTTATTTTTTTATTATAGAGATTTTTGTGTTCAACCTTTTATTCTCTAGCTTTATAGATTCTTAAGAAATGAACACCATTTTTTATCATTTTGAGAATCCAAATTATTTTTGTTTCTTGGTAACGAGAAAACCATATTATTTTTTGACAACTCCAAACATTTACCATGTGAATCTGTATTCTCCAACTCTCTTAAGAAAAGTTTTGTTCCACTTTTCTTCAAGTATACATGAAGAAATTGTTTTTATTTTCAAAATTGCTTTATATTATATCCACACATGCTTAGCATAACCTTAAAAGGTTAGTTTAGTGATTTAGAAGGGATATTTTATTTCTTTATTTTTTGAGTTCAAACTTTAAAGTGGAGAAATTTACTAAATTTATTTGAAGCCAATATAAATGATGCATATCTAAAATCATCTTCACTTTTGTCAAATAGTGCATGAAATATTTGTCTTCAATGCATGCATAGCGCATGAAACATTAGAGTTTTTAAAATTTAATAGCAGTTACTTTTTTTTTAAAAATTTTATTTTAAAATAAATTAAAAAATATTATTATTTTTTTTAAAATTATTTTTAATATTAATATAATAAAATAATTTTTTTTTTAAATTATAACAAATCTTTATTCAAACTGCCATCCAAACAGACAGATCCTAAACATGCCTTGAATATTATGTGTTGACAAGAGGATTATTTTATATATTATATTAGCATGATGGACCAAATCAATATGGCCGCCAAGCTATCAAAATTGAATCATCAGATTTGAAATTGAAGCATAAATTAACCCTAGCTAGTGACAGTGATTAGGAGAGGATATTGGAGCCAAATTTCTTGACTCCAATTATTAATTAACCTTGTCAAACATTAACAACCAAGTGGCAACATTAACGTTAACCTCTCCATCTCCTCTTCCCTTCCCACCAACTGATCTACTTTCAAAAATCTCTCCCGAAAACTCTGCTCTTTTTTCTTAACCGCTCCACCTTTGCAGTCACCCCCTCTCCTTAAACACCTGCAAAACGTACACCAACATTGATACAATACACATTCTAAAATGGGACTGGAATCGGAAACCAAGAAATCCCAGTTAGTGCTGGAGATTTGCTCTTTATCAACCCTATCGGTTGCTTGTGTTCACAGGCATCGTTGCAGCAGCTATGGTCCTGTAGAATCACATTTTATTGACTGGTATCGGATTCTTGGAGTACGTGTTAATCTTTCTTGATCTTGATTAGTTTTTCAAGGTTCCTCCATTATTTTTACTGTGTTTTTAATTTATCTGGATTTAAAAAAAAAAGAAAAAGAAATTTGTTGAAGGTGTTCTTCGGATTGTTCTCAGGTAGAAGAAGATGCAGACGTAGAAGGTATAAAGAAGAGGTATCGTAAACTTGGTACGTACCTTTTGTTGATGTTGTTTTTGGCAATATAGATGTGCTTTCCTTCTCTTTGTTGTGAGGATTGTTTAATTTCCTGCGGCAGCTTTGCAACTTCACCCAGACAAGAACAAGCATCCAAGAGCTGAGCTTGCCTTCAAGCTTGTCTTCGAGGTTAGATATGCTATTCTCTTTTTATAATGTGTGGATAATTAATACATGTAGGTAGAGTTTGGATAGTTGCATGGATTGCTTGGACAACAGGTCTTGAGTCGACCTACCAAGCCGATATAGGTTTCAAAATAATGTTTTTTTTCCATCTTATGATAGTTCTCTCCTTTTGAAAAAGGTCATTTATCTGCGACATTGTACGATGTTGTGTGTGTGAATTTCTTTAAGCATCCTCAGAAAAAGGATATACAATCTCTCGCAGGCCTACTCGTATCTCACAGACAATATAAAGAGAAGAGCCTTCAACCTGGAGAGAAGCAAGAACTTCTGCATAAAGTGCAACAGAATTCCATATACAGTTGGCAACAATTTGAGCAAATCACATGCACCGAAAGTAGCCGAGGAATCGAATGCTGCAAATCGCTCAAAATGGCTTCGGAATCGCGTGAGAGAAATGAAACAAAGATTTAAAGAGGAAATCAAAGTGATGGAGAGCTGTTTGAAGGCTAATAGCGCATCAAGGAAAGAAGCACCACTTTTCAAACCGTCAGACAATTGCCATTTCCATAGCGACACTCGTTCTGTGACACGAAAGGAGTCCCCAGTTTTTGATCCATCAGACTATCTATTCAAAGGCTATCCTCACATCAGAACTCGGATTTACAGGAAACCTGAGAACTTTTGGGACTTGCAGAGAGAAGATACATCGAACAATTACGGTGGCCAAAGAACAGTCACAGGAAGGTCATATCATGACTCCCCAGTCTTTGAGAAAAGATCAGGGAGAGGAATACTCAAGGAATCTGCTGCTTGTGTATATTCATAATAATCCTGATCAATTGCATTCATCCATAGAGTTAGAATTAGAGTAGCATAATCTTACATTGGCGAATTCTTTTTTTCCCCTGTTGCTTCTGCTTCAGCTTTTGCTTGTCAAGTGTCATCGCTAGCTAGCTAAGATACGATCGTTTTGAGACATTGATTCGACATTTGCATTTCGGTTTAATTTTTCCATCGTGTTGCGAATGGACAAATTTCCTTCTTGGAATGAGAAATTTTCGAAGCATACATCGAAAAAAGATAGAACTAGGGACTCTCAACTTCTAAGCATAAATCGAAAAAATAGTTTACTTAACCTAACCTCAAAAACATATTTTCCTCTTTCGCTTCGACAGCAACCGCACCCTTCCATCTCCCTCGTTCTCCCATGTTGATTAAACTTCTATCTCTAGACTCTCTACCATTTCTCCAATACTTTCTCTATAATCCCACAAAGTTTCTCTCTGTTTCTTCTCTCTTGTGATTTTTGTTGACACTACTATGCACCGCTTCACTTCATGCCTCGCTTCTAAAGCTCGGTACTTTCCTCTTTCTCCTTCATTATTTACACATGGGTTATCATTATTTTCTTTGCTTTCCATTTATTTGCTGAGAAAATGCACAAATAAATAAATAAAAATATGGAAGATCGGAACTTGATGGATATTCTTGATCACAATAGTGGTTTACCACCTAAGCCGAGCTAAAACTAATCCATCAAGAACTTTGTTTGAAATTGGATTTTATTTTCATTTACATCGTAAACAACCTAATAAAGATTCAATCTTGTGATTTCTCTTGCTTCAAAATGATGGCTTTTGCCTCTTGTGGGTTTTATAGGATTGCCAGGAGCAGCAACAATCAGATGAGTGCTGCTACTTTTATCGGTTTGGTGTCTCGTTTTCACATCTTATTCTGATTCTGGTTGTGCTGCTGCAATTCTATGACATCTCTCTAGAAAGCAATTCTTTTGCGTGTTTTTATCAGATTGGAAGTAGGTTGAGCTGGAGAAGAAACTATGTTTCCAAAGATATAAGAATCGGTGTAGAGGCTCGTACCAGAGTTTTAAAATCCGGACCGTCTTGGTAGCCAACCCGGGCTTGGGACCGGTCCGGGTTGAGGCAAAAACCTGTTTGGGAATCGACCCAGAAAAACCCAGTCGATCCGGCCAAACCTGAGTGAGACCTGGTCAATGTTTTTTTTACTGTCATTAAACGACGTCGTTTTTTGCCATCTAAAATGTCTTTGAAACTCATCTGAGGAGCTGAGGAGCAGTGAACATCTAACCATTGATCTTTATGAAAAAGGTTTGAATCTCCCACATGGTGCGACGCTACACTATCATCAACATGCTACCTCACGATCCCCCATCATAGTATCTTTACTGCTATAGTTACTGTTATTGGTCTGTCACCTTCTAGATTCTAGATTTGTTACCGTAATTATTTCTTTTATCATGACAATAGGCATTTGTTGTTCCTTACGATTCACAACCCATGTTTGTTATTATTATTATTATTATAAGAATTGAAAGCGGGGGAAAGAGAAAGAAAGACTTACCTGGAGCTGTTACTTAAAGATGAAGGCGATGGTGATGGAGGGCTGGCTAACCAATGTTTCCTTCTTCCCCTCTACTTCTGTTTTTCGTTCACTTCACCTCTATTCTTGCTTTTCTCTGCTTGTCTTGTCTTTATTTATTTATTTATTTCTCTCGTTCCCTTTGTCTCTCTCTGTTCTTGTTCCTCTTGGTCTCTCTCTGTATTATTTGTGGTAGTTCATTTTTCGTCTGTGTTTTTTTGTATTATCTATTTGTGGTTCTCCCCTTCTTTGTGGTTTTTTGTCTGTTCGTCCTGGTTTTTTTGGGTTTGTATTTGTTGGTTGGATCAACAACCTACGGTGAGGGGAAGTTGAAGTTCCTTTTTGCTGAGGAAGGTCACAAGTCTTTCTATCTTCTCTCTGTCTCTGTTGTTTTTTTTGGTTGATCCGGGTCAACCTATCTGACCCATAACTTGATCACTTGACCGGTTGATGACCGGGTTGGATTTTAAAATTATGACTCGTCATGTGATGCTCAAGGATGTTAAAGACTTTGTTGATGGTATCAAAGTCACCACAAACTGATTCCAATTTTAAATGTTAAAAAACCATTCGGTTTAGTCCAAGTCATAATTTTAAGAAATAATATCTTTGGGGCTTTTGATTTAGTTGAGTCATAATGTTAAAAAAATAATATCTCTCAATTTAATTAGAATTTTTAATCTAAATCGAATTGAATTGAATCAGATGTAAACCTAAAAAAACAAGAATGAATTAGAAAAATAAATAAAATTAAAAAATAACACTAAAAATAATTCAAAAATAATATTTTCTAAACTTATTATTAAAGAATTTTTAAATCCTATAAAACATAATTATTTTGAAAGTGTTAGGTTCTCAATTGCCAACCATTAATTTTGTGAATTATAGAATTTTTTTTTTTGAAATGAATGCATGATCACCCTTTATTTAAACACTTAAAAAAACTTTATTCTTGATGTAAAAACCAAACACAAGTTTGCATTAGGCCAACCTGTTTTATGAAAAATGATAGGGGGAAGGAACGACCTATCCTAGAAAAGAGATTATAAAGGATATAATCAGCTCTAAAATAATTTAATAAGAGGTTAGGAATCAAAGATAACTAGTACCCATATAATCCCTCTTATTTAAGAGCGAATATAAACAAGAGCGAATATAAATGTAAAAGAGAGAGAAAATATAACCCTTCCTTTCCCCAAAGCCTAACTATAATATATTGGAACCGTCCCTCTCTTTTCTAAAGAGAAAATTTGAACTGACCAGCTATATGCCCATCTTTCTTAAGTGTTGAGTGAGAAGAGAGTAGAGGGAAAGAGAAGTGACCGAAATATCAAGGAAGAAAAAGCCTAGACTTTCTCCTAGAATCGGTAACAGTTATTGCTGCATCAAAATCACTCTTTCTCAAGAAGAAAAACTGACCTCAACTAACCCGCATGCCATCTTTCTTGAGAGTAGAGTAAGAAGTGAGTTTGGTGAAGGAGAGAAAACCAAAAACATGGAAAAAAAAGGAGCCTAGAGGGTTGGCTAAATAGTAGGAGAGGAAAGGAAGAAACCAAACAAAAAAATAAAAACAAACCACCAAACCTTACCCTAGGATTGCCTAAAATCACGAGGTAAGGGAAGAATATCACCTCTTTAATTATTCCTTGAAACTTCCGGATAGAAAATAAAAGAAAACCCAAAGAGAATAGTTATGGTTTTTACACTTATAACTTAAGAGGGTAAGAAGGGAAAATTAAGTTGAATAGGGGGGTGAATGGAGGACACAACTCCTAAAATAAAAATAAAAGAAATGAATGAACTTGAACACATAAAGTTGGAAATATGGCTGGCCATAGTAAGGGATGCACATAATATGAATTAAAGGGATAAAATGCAAATATAATGACCTTTTTTATCATATGAAACCAAAACATAAATTGTACACATGTTAATGATATGAATTCTACATATGTGGTTAAAACACTTATATGAAAATGTGTTGGTTTGATGTCAAGTGTAAAATTATGTGTTTGTGACCCCTTTGACACATGTTAGAGTTGAAATGAGAATTTCATCATGATTAATGTTTTGTTTTATGTATGATGAATGAATGTGTATTGTGAATCATAAGAATGAATGTGTAATTATGGGTTGTTATTGTGATTATACTAGTGAGGAACATGGCAATTTGTGTGTGTAACTTAAGGAAATAGGCAGCAATACTAGCCATAAAAATGAAGGAAAACAATAAAGGAACCTTACATGATCCTTAAAAGGTCAAGACATAGGGTGACAATGATATCCTTGTGTGATGTGCATAGATTATTAGTTTGTGTTTATAAATTTAGCATGATGGAATTGAAAACATAGAAAGCATGATTGTGTGTGCTGATGAATTCACGCGCCAACTAATTTTGTTGACAATTTATGAGTCGACAACGACTCAATGTTCATCAATGATTTCTAAGTCAGCAGTAGGATGTGCGTGTTGACGAATTCATTGTTAATTGTAGAATAAAATCATGTTAACAATTTCTGAGTTGGTAGCGACTTAGTTTTTGTCAATGATTTCCAAGTCAGCAATAGGATATGTGCGCTAACGAATTCAGCATCATCGTAAAACTGAATCACGCTGATGATTTCTGAGTCAGTAGTGACTTAGTTTTCATCAACTATTTTGGTATCAATAGTATGATGTGTGCGTTGATGAATTCAGCAATAGCCGCATAACTGGATTATACTAATAATTCTTTAGATTGGTAATAACTCAGTTTTCGTCAATGATTTGCAAGTCCAATAATAGACTACGTGCGCTGACAATTTCATGCACCAGCTGTATGATTGAATTGCATCGTCGAATTCTATGTCACAAGTGAATCAATTTTCATTATCGAATTCTATGTCACTAGTGAATTAGTTTTTGCTGATGAATTCTGCATTAGCAACAAACCAGGTTTTACTTATGATTTTTCTGTGATAGACTTTCATACCAAAATTAACTTAAATGTTTGTACTAATTTATGTATTTTGTATGAACAAATGTATTTAATGTATAATTATCGTTTAACACTTCTATTTGAACTCATAATATTAGTAGTATTAGAACAAAAATGTGAACTTATGAATGTGTATATATAATAATTGTAGATTTGTAAGCATGTAAATATGATGTTGCTAGATTACAAATACTTTTGCATGAGATGTTGATTTACATTATCTTATGTTATTTATGCCTTGCTAGTGAATGGAATGCATTCATAATTTGCGAAATGATATTGTTAAAAGTATTGAGAACCTAACAACTTATAGGAAAAAAAACAATTCACCTCAATTTTCTCTTTGAAAAAGCCAAGTCATTAAAGTCGGTATCAAAGCACCTGGTTTGGATCCTAAAGATTGATGATGATAATATTGTTATGATTTATTTCAAAATGATATGCATTCGACAGGGGACCCGAACTGAACCATCATCCATAGAAAGGAGGAATTGGGGCTGAAATGCCTAAGATTAGCAAGATGAAGATCCTTTGGATGACACAGCTTCTCATGCCCTAGTGAGACCATTCGAGTCTTTATAGGGAAGGACTACAAAAGCTAGCCATGAACAAGCCCTAAATTAGACAAAAAGAGTACGCCCAACAAGTATAGGGCTGTAATGGGGAATGAAGGCGCCCCCAATAGTCTTAATAGGTGCACCCCTACTGATTAATACTTAAAAGTGTATTTTTTATTCATCATATTGCATTTAAAGTATCATTAAATTCCCTAACTTAAACATGTTTTATAATAACAAGTCTAATAATATAAGATAACTTTAATTTATGGTAAATTCTGATTTTAAATGCAGGCATATCTCATAATTCAAAGGATTGATTGATGTGATTAACTATGAAAAGTGAAAAGACAAAGAGGGCTAAACTTAAAAAAATATGCTAGTTTAGTCCAAACTATAATACTGTTCAGTTATTGGGTCATATCTGAAACTGTAAAACATAGATTTGGGTCTGTTCTATATGGATAGAAAGCTAAGATATAGACTTAAAACTTTCATGGGAGTCCAAGATTCAAAAAAGTCATTTTCAAGTTTAAATTATAACAACAATGGAGAAGTCAAAATCTATCCTACAACTTAAATACTATTTAGTGTTCAACCCATATCTTGAGTTCTAGAAGCCTAAATGATCTCTTTTTTTGTTGGAAAGCTGAGATAATTTTCTAAAACTTTCATGAAGACAGTCTATTCAAATTCTGATGTTAGCAATGATGTTTTGTTTAGACAAGAAGATGATGATTGTCACCAAGTCAAGATGTGGTCACCCACTCAATAATTAGTTAATAAATTAATAGTTCTAAATTTTGGCCTATAAAAGGTTCCCATTTTTGGCCTATAAAAGGAGGCATTTGCCATGTATTTAGGCATCTTGGTTTTTAGATCAAGATCATGTTCTAGCTCTTTTTATATTTTTATAATGTTTAAGTTTTGCTTATATTAATCTTTTATTTATGTTTTTTATTTTATTTATATTTATGTTTTATTTATTTATATTTCTCTCATTCATTATGTTTAGGTAAGTTTATTATGTCAAGGTGAAAAGATTACACTAATAGTGTAAGAATAAGTATAATATAAACTTAACGTGGACTTTAATATTTAATAGTAAAATGTTTTATATTTGTTATCTTGTTCACTTTTAATACTTTACTTGTTAAATGGTTAATCTAAATTTATGTTGTATAACCCTTAGTACAACAAATACCTGGCACTTTTATGGCCCAACCGTATGGTATAACTGACACCTATGCTAGAAAGGAACTTGATTTGTTGTTAATCTAAGTTATAATCATGAATACCTAATAACATTTATAAGTATTAGCATT